GACGATAGCGACGACGACGGCGACGACGACGACGGTGGCGACGACGACGACGACGGTGGCAGCGACGGCGGCGACGACGACGACCGCGGCAACGACGTCGGCGGCAAAGGCGCCGCCAACGAAGACTGCGAGCGCGCGCGCCGGCGCGGCGCGCGCGCGGCTCCCGCAGGTGAACGGCGAGCCGGGGAGCCCCGCCGGCGGCAGGGGGGGGGCCATGGGAGAGGGGAGGACAGGGGGGGGGAGAGGAAAGGAGGACGAGGAGGAGGAGGAGGAATGAGAGCGCGTTCTATCTTGATCTCTGACGGCCCCGGGGTCCGGAGGCGGCCTCTGGGCGCCAAGAGCCTCGTTGAGAAGAGCACTTCGTTGGACGTTCCTCACACGCCTGACCCCAGTGGACACCCATTCCTGGGACCGCGGTAGCACCAGGAGGAGGAGGAGGAGGCCTCCTCGCGTCACGAAAAGTTCACGACGGCAGGCTTTTGGCAGCTCTCGGCCTCCAGGGGCCCTCACCAGCCCCCAGGACCCTCAAGAAATGTCTCTGCGTGAGAAGCCTGTCCCCGGAAAGGGGCCTAGACCTCTGGGAAGCCACGCTATGAGAAAATCACGACGTCGGAGGTCTGGAGGATTGCGAGGGGGACCACCGCTAGGGGTAAGAGTTGGGACGCTGGAGAGCCATGGGGAGGGTTGCGGGGAAGATTGGGGGAAGAAAGAGAGCGGGGTTGGGCGACGAAAACGAGAGTAGGAGCAGGAGGAGAGCGCTGGCCTACGCCATCCTGCCAGCCCCATCGAAGCTCACGGGTTGGCCAGTTGGCCAGGCACAGACCAGGCCACCACTCGAGGAGGAGGAGGAGGAGAGGAAGAAGAAGAGGAAGGTGGAGGAGGAGTTTTGGGGAGAAGGGGAAGCAGGAGGAGCAGGAGAGGGCTGATCCTCCTCCTCCTTCACCTTCTCCCTCTCCTCGGCTTCGCGAGGCTTGGGACCACCAGGGAGCCACTCTGTCTTATCTGCTCAAGGGTCCTCCAAGGCTGTCCTCCGAGTGGATCTCTCTGGGCACTCTCACAAAATGCTCTCTTCGTCACCTCCGCGCACCGCTTCCCTCGGACTGCCTTGCGGCGGCGTGCGCCGACAGTGGATTGCTGCTGACAGATGCTCGCCTGCTCAGCACTGTCCTGGCACCCTTCCAAGCTATGCGCGCTGGCAAATACTAGACTCAAGCCCACGAAATTCAACCTCGTAACTACCGCTGTGGTGCTCGCCCCACGTCGAGGGCGAAGCTCGCACTCTTCTCACCTCCCTCGCCCCTAAATGGTGTGCGTTTGCTGTTGTCGGAGTACTTCTAGCAACATCTGAGAGAGAGGGAGGGAGGGAGGGAGCGAGAGAGAGAGAGTGAGAGTTCCCAGTGACTGAGACACAAAACTAAACCACCCAAAGGGCTTCTCCAGCGACGCGGGGACAAGGAGGAAGGTGGCGACGAACTGAAGCCTTTGCATGCCGTTTATATTCGGAGTGCGCCGCGACAGCCAGCGGATGAACACTGCGTGCAAGGGGGACGTGCATCCCACGTACGTGCACCGCCGACTGCGAACACACGTTTGCTCATAGTCTGACCAGGGTGCCGGAAGCTGCAGAGCGGCAGCACGCCGATCACCAGAGTTGTCACGAAAGTTGGCCACGATCAAGCAACAACATTTGAGATCATTATGTGTTGTCATTCGAGGTTTCAAGAGTTGCGCCAGTTTGGGACACGTGCCCTGGCAATAATTGTCACGGGTAGCGCTTGCCTGTCCCGGCCGCATGGCCGATGCAGTCTCGCGCTGTCTCTTGCGTGCTGACACTGCGGGGAATAGTTTGCACCAGTTATTTGCCCAGTGCTTAGGAAGAAGAATCCGCTCAGTGCTTTCGCGGCGTTGCGACGGCGGTTGTCGAACCATGCGGACTGCTCCCATCCTCTCCCTCCAAACCCGAAAAAGGTGATAATAACTATGACCACCAGCATGGAAGTTGCAGAGCGGCACAATAGTCGGGGGCGGCAAAGAGGGGGGTGGTGACTAGGGGGGGGGGATCTCATGGCGGGGGCCATGATATTTCCCCAGATTTCATGGCGCCTCTTCTCATTTCATTGCGTCCCTGGCCCCCCCGCTGGGCCGCGCCCATGCCGCCGGTCATGATTTGCACCCCCCACTCTTGGACGCCCCCCTCTTGGCCGCTCCCGAAATGGCCGATCACCGGAGCTTGCGCAAGACTGAACACTGCCAAGCAGCAGCAGGCGAATGTCAAGCCATCCCACCCAGCCAGCACGCGAGAGTACACCCGCGCGGCAGGGAGGAGGGCGCGATGGGGCTCGGAGCCCGCGGAGCCTCCCACGGCCTGCCGCCTGGGGCGGACCTTGACGAACATGACCTGCTCCTCCTCCTCCTCCTCCTCCTCCTCCTCCTCCTCCTCCCCCTCCCCCTCCTCCATCCTCCTCCTCCTCCTCCTCCTCCTCCTCCTCCTCCCTCCCCCTCCCCCTCCTCCTCCTCCCTCTCCTCCTCCTCCCCCCCTCCCCCTCCTCCTCCTCCTCCTCCTCCTGCTCCTCCTCCTCCTCCTCCTCCTCCTCCTCCTCCTCCTCCTCCTCCTCCTCCTCCAGGGGATGGAAACAAAAGGGCCCCACGATTTTTGGGCCACCTGGCGCACCGCGAAAAACAGTCAGATGATTAGCCTTTTGCTCCGTCACCGCGAAGAGGTCGCCCACGCACGACGCGCCGGCCGACCGCGATAACAGTGAGGGGCAAGGCCAGGTACAAAGGGTCGGAAGGTCAGAGGGCCACGAGTCAGAGGTCGAAAAAGGATATGGGGACGGGCGGGGATGAGAGGCGATGAAAGAATATTTGAGGGCGAATGGATGAGAAGGTGAGATGGTCGGGGTGTAGATAAGAGTAAGGGTAAAAGCAAAGGTAAGAGCAATGGAGAAGGGGGGCAGAGAGACTTGTCCTGCCTACTGTACCTCCTTGTGCCCCGTCGCCAGTCCCCATTCCCTCTCGCTGCCCCACTTTATTTTCCATGATCCCCCTCCTCCCACCTCATCCTTCCACTCCCCCTCACCCTCCTCCATCGCTCCCCCTCCATCTCCCCGCCTCCCTCCCGCTCGCCCTCCTCTCCCCGTCCCCCTCCCCCCGCTCTTTTTCATCCTCGCCCCTCTGCCGGAGGACGAGCGCTCGCTGGGCCGGCGTCGTCCTTGTCGCCAGAGTCGTCGTCTTCCAGGCCTAGCGCCGTCGCCTGCGTCGTTGACGTCGTCGTCACATCCCAGATATCCAACGTCGTGGTTTTGTCACAGCGTGGCTCCCCAGAGGTCTGAACCTCTTCCCCAGGACCCGGTTTTCACCCTGAGTCGTTTTTGACGGTCCTTGGGCCCGGTCAGGGGCCCCAGAGACCGAAAATTGTCCGCCGTGTTTTTCCCAACCATCCTATGGTGTTGGGTCCTCGTTTTGAAGAGACGGTCCCCGCGTTCCTCTCCTCCTCTTCCTCCTCCTCCTCCCCTCGTCTTCCCTCCTCCCATCATGATTCTCATCATCGTCGTCGTCATCGTCATCGTCATCATCATCATCATCATCATCATCATCATCATCATCATCATCATCATCATCATCATCATCATCATCATCCTCATCCTCATCCTCATCCTCATCCTCATCCTCATCCTCATCCTCATCCTCATCCTCATCCTCATCACCACCATCATCGTCCTCATCATCGCCACCATCATCGCCATCAGCTTCGGCACACACCTCAAACGCTTCGTGGCCCCATAGTGAGCTCCACCTAAGGTCCCAGAGGCGCAGTTCGCATGGCGGCGCCGCCCCATTTCGGTATATCCCTCATACGCTTCGTGGCCCCATAGCGAGTTCCACCTAAGGTCCCAAAGGCGCAATTCGCATGGCGGCGCCGCGCCATTTTGGCACACCCTTCACACGTTTCGTGGCCCCATAGGGAGCTCCATCTTTTAAGGTCCCAGTGGCGCAATTCGCATGGCGGCGCCGCCCCATGTTGGTACACACCCCATACGCTTCATGGCCCCATAGCGAGTTCCACCTAGGGTCCCAGTGGCAGCGCCCGCATGGCGGCCCCGCCCCATGTCGGCACACCCCTCACACGTTTCGTGGCCCCACGGGGAGCTCCACCTAAGGCCCCACTGGCGCAGTTCGCATGGCGGTGCCGCCCTATTTTGGCACACCCCTCGCACGCTTCGTGGCCCCATAGGGAGCTCCACCTAAGGTCCCAGTGGCGCAGTTCGCATGGCGGCGCCGCCCCATTTCGGTATACCCCTCATACGCTTCGTGGCCCCATACTTGTAGCGAGTTCCACCAAAAATCCCAGTGGCGCAGTTCGCATGGTTGCGCCGCCGCATTTCGGCACACCCCTTACATGTTTCGTGGCCCCATAGGGACCCATAGGGAGCTCCATTTAAGGTCCTAGTGGCGCAGTCCGTATGGCGGCGCCGCCCCATTTTGGCACACCGCTCACACGTTTCGTGGCTCCATAGGAAGGTCCGTCTAGGTCCGGTTCGCATGGTGGCGCAGTCCGCATGGCAGCGCCGCCCTATTTTGGCACACCTTCACACGTTTCGTGGCCCCATGGGGAGCTCCACCGAAGGCCCCAGTGGCAGCGCCAGCATGGCGGCCCCGCCCCATTTCGGCACACCCCTCGCACGTTTTGTGGCCTCATAAGGGGGCTTAACCGAAGGCCCCAGTGGCAGCGCCCGCATGGCGGCCCCGCCCCATTTCGGCACACCCTTCACGCGCTTCCTGGCCCCATAAGGAGATCCACCGAAGGCGATATTATCAACGACGGTAATCACAACTGCATATGGTTGGGCCCTTCGCCAGGCTATGTGTTTTGTTTGCCACTGCGCGGGGATGTCAGGGAGTACCTCAATCGACATCGCTAGTGACAGAACAGCCTCGTCTTCGTCACCAGCGGCTGCGTCGACCGTCCGCGGTCGTCGACGCACCCCGTGCGCTCGCAGGAACTACGGCGCGGGCTTCCTCGGCGTCAAGAGCATCGGCCTCTCGAGCGGGGGGTTCGCGGATCCGGAGGCCTGCCCCCCCATCCCCCCTCGCGCGCAGCGGGGCGAGGGTTAAGGGGGGGGGGGAGGGAGAGGAGGGAACGAAGAGGAGGAGGAGGAGGAGGAGGAGAGGAGGAGAGGAGGAGGAGGAGGAGGAGGAGGAGGAGGAGAGAAGGAGGAGGAGGAGGAGGAGGAGGAGGAGGAGGGGAGGAGGAGGAGGAGGAGGAGGAGGGCGAGGAGGAGAAGGAGGAGGAGGAGGAGGAGGAGGAGGAGGAGGAGAGGAGGAGGAGGAGGAGGAAGGCGAGGAGGAGGAGGAGGAGGAGGGCTCCGCAGCCTCTCGTCCTCGTCTGCTTGCCAGCAGGCGCGGTTTCCAATCATTGCGCGGGTCAAGTTAAGACTCCGCGGGGACGCGCGGGGAATGCGCGGAGTTGGCGCGGGCTACCGCTGGCCTGCTTGACCGGCAGGGTCGGCGAGCCCAGTGACGAAGCCGGGTAGCCCGCCTCGCCCGCTATTGCTGCTCCTCCTCCTCCTCCTCCTCCTCCTCCTCCTCCTCCTCCTCCTCCTCCTCCTCCTCCTCCTCCTCCTCCTTTTTCTCCAGCTGCCGTGACAGCCCAAGACAGCTTCACAGCAGCGCTCATGAGGTCCAACAGGGGACCCGTCTGGCTTTCGCCGAACATTCAGCCAGGCATCGGCGGCCTGCTGGCCGATGACCCTCCGCGTCCTGGGGTTCAACCCCGTTCATGCCGCTGAATCGCGGATGGAAAAGATCATCATGGCGTGCCCAAACATGGACATCATTGCCCTGGCTGGAACACGTTCTAACCACAGAAAGAGCGAAGAGATCCTGGGTCGACGAATGTCGGGCCATCCAGTTCTTGAGGCAGAAGCAGGAGAGGGCCCATACACTAATCGTTCCACAGGCTGCGCAATCAGATTGCACCCCTCCTTCTCGCAGAAGCATATTCGGAGGATGTGGTCGAGCCCCCCTGCGGCCTTTGGGCGCGCCATGGCAGTGCGACTCCTTCGCTGGCCGCTGGACGTCACGATCATAGTTCTATACTTCCCCCACAGCCGAAGTACGCGAAGGAGGTCCCCAATTACACTCAGACAGTTAAGGTCCTCATCAATTGGTACGACGCTGTACTCTCGGCGCTCCCCTTCAGGAGCACATCAATCTTATACGTCGACACGAACGACGGGCAAGGCATCAGCCGTGCGGCTGGCTCTTGGCAGCAGATGGAGACTAACGCAGTTGGAGACGGCCGCAGCCGAGAACATCGTAGAAACGGAGCAGGAGAACGATTTCGACAGATTCATGAGCAACAGCTTCTACTGGCTATGAATTTCAGGCCAGCGGATTTGCAGCCCACCTTCTTTGGCACTTTTGATGGACAGAGTTGCATTGATTGTATGTGTGCCCCTTTGGGCATGACGGATTTTGTCAAAGTATGCCACCACTTGTATCGATTCGGAGCATCTGTTCAGGCTTACCGTGGACGCCTTCCCAGAGACCATGTGCCATTCTACATGGAAATGGCACGCGTTAAGAGTTAGGCCCCGCGAAAGAAGGCGATTCGCCCTCATTGGAATATGGATTCCATTATGGAAGCAGCACGCCGAGGAGACCAACGCCCTGAGTTCCTACGCGCCGTTCATCAGAAGCTGATGGAAGACGAAGATACGTGGCGTGAGTTGCTCACGCTTGGACGACCAGACGAGACCTTCGCATTCATTGAGGCTCTGCTCCTCGAGGTGGGCCAGCGCTTCTTCAAGGCTAAGGCAACGACAGACACGAACTATCAGCGAGATAAAGAAAAAGCGGGAACGGCTCTTACTAGAACGGGCTGGATTGCGACTGGAGCGCGCTGCAGCTGACGATGACAAGCTGACATTCTGCGAATCGGAACTACGACGGATTTCTCAACCACTTAAGCTCCAGCGACAAGAACTACAACGGCGCCGACGCGAGGACATCCTGCAGGAGATCGACGACGCATGGAACAGCAGGAAGCTCGCGGAGGCCATGAGGCTTACACGCCCCGCGGGGGCATGCAGATATGGTGCGGAAGAAAGGGGCGGCAGACTGATTCGAGGTGGGGCGTCCACGGAGGCCGAGCTCACATCGCTCCGGGCACCCCCTGGACGTCGAGGCGGCATGCGAGCTACACCCAAGACCGTTGAGCAAGCACTTGGCGACTATCCTGATCCTGGCCGAGTTTATATCAGCGCTGATGACTGCGAGCTGGCACAGAAAGACCCGCGGCGCGCCATGCACTACATTCGGAAAGCACGGAAACGACGAGCAGCACCACGCGATACCTCTCCGATGGAGCTCTGGTTGATGCGCCTCGACCCCGAGCGGAACCTCAAGCAAACCGGCTACGGGTTGGGATTTGACTTGTCACTACCAGATATGGAATGTTTCTTTAAGTTTATAGAATCCGCCTTTCGGCAAATCCGCTCGACCAACCGATCCCCGATTGCCCGGCATCGCAGCCAGGGCGCCCAACTTCGGAAGAATGCGACTCCAGGGCCGAAGGGCGGTCGAACTGCGCGCGCGATGAGCGCCCTCGGCAAGGCCCACTACCATGATATGCTGCACGTGCCCCGCAAAGTTTTCGAGCGCGGCTTCATCCCAGGCAGACGGCGTGAGGGCGCCATTTTCGTGAACTAGATGCTCGGTTGGCGCTCGCGCTGGGCCGGCCGTTGTCTTGCCCTCAGCTACACAGACCTGAGCAATGCATTCGCTCGTGGGAGGTGGGGGGACCTGGAGGAAACGATTCACCTGCACGCTCAGCCTGAGAACATAGACCTCTGCATCCAGCGTTTCAAGCTCAGCGCGATTTCGTTGGAGACTCGAGGGGGAGGCCACGTTTAAGACAGGCGAGGGGGGGCCCATGGGGCCCGCTCGTCGCCCAGCTGTTTCGGGGCACGCTTGCACGACCACTAACGCAATGGAGGTACGCGACTCAGTCGACCGTTACTAAGGCTACTAAGCTAACGGCAAGGTGGAGGGACTCGAGGGCTCACGCGGGGGGATGCACCTACGCCGACGACGCTTGCCAGGCACATCTAGCCCCAGTTCCGACCCCCCTGAAAGATGTCCCGGACATGTTGAGGGATTGCGACGACGACCTGGACAGGAAACTCGGGGCCGCGGGGCATGCCAGAAATCCAGAAAAAAAAAAAAAAAAAAAAAAAAAAAAAAAAAAAAAAAAAAAAAAAAAAAAAAAAAAAAAAAAAAAAAAAAAAAAAAAAAAAAAACTCCAGATGTATTTTCACGGGACGGGGGCCGCGACCTACAAGAGGTGGGCGCGATCCCATCCAGAGCTTGTGCCAGGTGAATTTAAGGACACAGTGAGGCATCTCGGCCCGACGCTGAATAATTGCCAGTCGGTCGAGGTCGAGGTTGGCCGACGCTGCACAGCAAACGCAGACTCTTTCTATTCATCGGGCAGAGTATGGCCTCTTTCATTACTGCATCGATGGATACGGACGCCGTTCATTAACGTTGTGCAGAATACAGCCCGCTCGGGCCTAGAACCCCTCCTGCTGGGCCCAGTCCATTACGGCAGACTCGACGGACAGGCTGTGCGATTCGGTCGGCGAGCGATGCAAGGACGAGCCACGACGCATCATGAACACGATGTTCGATCGAAAGAGTGGACGCGCGATTGGCAGCTCGAGGATCAGATGGGGGAGAAAAAACATGCGGTTGCACGTTCAGCACTCGTCGTGACCTCCTAAACCACATGCGCACCATCCACCTGGTCAGAAATCCCCGTTCGGCCCCCACACCAACAAATACGCGCACTGCGCGCCGACAGACGTTCGGGCGCCAAGGGAACGTGCAGAAACATCTCCAACGAGCCCTTCTCCAAGCAAGGTCAATGTCTGAACAGGGGCGCCCTCGCAATCCTCCCCGCCCAGCCCGCGCCCGCCCTCAATTGCGTTCTCTGTGAATATCGAGCGGCCGACTTGGATGACCTATGCCTACACCTCCGTAGCCGTCCCCCTCGAGAAGTGGCGCCTCCAGCTCCTGCGAACCGAAGTGCCTCTACTGATATGCTCGGCGTGCACGACAGACCTCGCAGCGCCCGACTGGCTTCAAACGCCCCCACCTGCCGGGGGGGGCCGCCGCACTTCAAGAAGGCCAAGACCGAGGCCAGAGCGCAGATCCAGGCAGGCAAGTCCGACGGCGAGATCATCGCACGCCTGGTCGCGCTCACAGCGCGCCCCGTGCTCGCAGACAGCGGGGCCGTCGCAGAGCCGACGGCAACGACGCACACAACTTGGCCGCTCGCATTCATCGACGGCGGATTCTCGGGCGGGATGGAGATCGCAGCCGGCGGCGCCAAGAGATATCTCAAGGGCTGGCCGAGCAACGTAAACAAATAGAGAACGTGGCCTTCAAAGCTCGAGGCCCCCCGCACCTACACGCGCCCATCGCGGGGCCGATGCGGCTGGCCATGCAAGAGCAGGCACGGGGCAAAGAGACCAAATATTTCTACATGACTCACGCGCAGAAGCTACCCATCCATGCCGTCGGCGAAATCGCGCTCCATTGGCAGTGGAATCGGAACAAGGGAGAGCAGACTATCGAGAAGCAGGGCCGACTCATCGCGGCGATCGACTCCGATCACGAGTTGAGCCGCAAGCTGACCCCGCTCCTGCGCACGGCCATCTTGGACATGAAAGGAGAGCGCTCGGTCGGCACCCCATCCCGCGGCCCTTTGGAGAGAGACGCAGCGAAGCTACTGAACCAGCTGAAGAAGTGAGTACACCCTGTGATGATCAGTCTTCGGATGTGCTCCCTCCACCAGCGCTTCCACGACCTTCTGAAGTGCGGCCTCCACTTGCGCTTCCACGACCTTCTGAAGTGCGACCTCCTCCTGCGCTTCGGGATAGCGCTCGACTTCGCGAGCTGATCGCACAGGGTAGAGTTCCGCCCGATGTGCTTCAACATAGGACCGCACCCACCCCTCTTCCCTTTCCCACGGCCCACGGCCCCTCCCTTCCGCCCGCCCCCAC